TTGGGCTTGCTGGGTCAGAGTGTGGGCTTGTGGGGCCCCGAGAGGACCTGGGGCATGGTGACGGGGTGTAATCAGAAGAGAGGTTACAGGCAGGATGGGGCCAAGATGCAGGACTTCACTGATTCGGAGATGGCAGGGAGCAAGGGTGGCAAAGGTGGATATTAGGAAGCCTCATGTCAGCCTCACCTCTCCCGTTTGAGACTTGGAGTCCCAGGACTGCGGGGACAGAGCAGGCAGGTTGACATGGTCGTAGGCACTGCCCTCAGCCCACTCAGAGCCACTGGCTCCTATCCCAAGTGCACTCCCTAGTAACCCGTCTTACTCTCCCTCATCCTTTCACACCCCCCAGCGTCCCCAAGCACACCCTCCACACACCCTCAAACCTCCTTGTACCCCATGTACCCCTGAGGCCCAACCTGGCCTAGTTGGGTGCCCAAGCTGCCAGCAGGCTCTGTGAAACCTCCATCCAGAGCCCCCACAGGGAGACTGTTCAAAATTCCAGGGATGAAGTCAGTGTCCTTGGGAAGGGATCAGAGTCTGGATCGCACATGGGCTTCTGGCACTGGGCGCAGAGCCTGCAAGTCTGTGGCTCCATTTGTCAGGTGTTCAGGTGACCATGGTTACCTTTTTCTTTGTTGGTTTTTCTTTCTTTCTTTCTTTCTTTCTTTCTTTCTTTCTTTCTTTCTTTTGCTTTTTGGTTTTGGTTTGTAGTTTAGCAATGAGCTCTTGTACTGGCTGGTTTTGTGTGTCAGCTTGAGGAAGGAGCCTCAGCTGAAGAAATGCCTCCAAGAGATCCAGCTGTAAGGCATCTTCTCAATTAGAGATCAATGCTGCTGCGGTGGGGCCAACCCATGGTGGGTGGAGCTATCCCTGGGCTGCTGGTCCTAGGCTTTGTAAGAAAGCAGGCTGAGCAAGCCATGAGGAGTAAGCCAGTAAGCAGCACTTCTCCATGACCTCTGTATCAGACCCCTGCCCTGCTTGAGTTCCTGTTTTGACTTCTGTCAATGATGAACAGCAATATAGAAGTGCAAGCCTAATTAACACTTTACTCCCTAATTGCTTTTTGGTCAAGGTGTTTCATCTCAGCAATAGAAACCCTTACTAAGACAGTTCTGTAAAGGTTTGGGTCAAGAACTTGATTTTGGTTCAAGGAAACCTGTGCCCTGCGATGTTCTGGTCCAGGGAGATGGGGTAGGTTCCAGGTACTCATCAGAAGTGAGGAGTCCACTGGGAACGTAGCTCAGCTGGTAGAGTGCTAGCATAGCACACAAGACCACCTGGTTGGAGCATCACCAATGCATCAACCAGGTGTGGGAGTACACACCTGCAATCCCAATACCCCCAATACTGGGGATAAAGGCAGGGAGAACAAAAGACCAAATACATCATCATCAGTTATATAGTGAGAATGAAGCCAGTCTAGGACACATGAGACCCTTTCTCAAAAAAAAAAAAAAATACATAAAACTGAAGTGACATTTAAAATTTTATTTTTTAAACTTGTGACTATTATTGTGTGTGTGTGTGTGTGTGTGTGTGTGTGTGTGTGTGTGTGTGTATCTGTGGGCATGCTTACAGGCTTGCTATTTGTGTGAAGGACAACCTCAAGTGTCAATCATCTCCTTCCACCTTGTGGGTGACAATGTCTTTTGATCCTATTTGTAGTTGCCTAGGCCTGGCTGTCTCCATCTCCCATATCCTCTTAGGAGCGCTGGGATTGCAGATGTGGACAACAGCATCCCATTTCATATAGGTCCCAGGGATTCAAACTCGGGTCCTGACATTTGTGCTGCAAGCTCTTCACCTACTGAACCATCTCTGAACCATCTCTGCAGTCCCTAAACATGAACTTTTTCAAATGCAGACAATAGAAACTCCTTGTTTGGAGGAGGTTTGCATTTCCACAGGAATCCATACATGAATTTTAAGGGAAATGGCAGTGGGTGGTTTCATAAAAGAATGAAGAAGTTCAGCATGTGAGTCATTGTCAACATTAGTTGTCTTCTCGGTCACTTGTGCTTTCATGGGTTGTATCGCTAGGAGCCTTTGGTATTGAGATACCTGTCAATTGCCTTGATGGTGGTGGGACTGACTGTCTCCTTTGGTGTTGTCAGCTGGGACATAACCCAGTGTACACCTTTTTTATAATTGTTTTCGGCATATGTAATCCCTACCCCTTCACACGCTTCTACTTTAGTTCCCCATTAAAATGTTCACATCTTGGCAATTTAAAACTCATAGCATTTTTTTTTAACCACCTGTCAGACTCAGGGAGAACTATAGAGATTAACGAATAAAAGATTTGTAAAATGCTTCCTGAATATAAAATTCCATAAATATGCTAAATAGTAATAATCCACCCATTGTTAAATTTATGTCGTCTCTTCAGCTGTGCACATGAGACAATTTAGATGTATGCCTCTTGTCAATTAAACAATGAGTTTGAAGTAAAATAATGAGTTCCATTCACATCTTATGAAAGTTGAAAATAAACTTCTCCCATAAGGCGTCTGGGCTGGGAAGCTTGAGGTAAGTAAGCAGCCTTGAAAAAACCTAGGAGTAGCATTTGCCTTGCAGATGGGAAACTGGACTTGGGAACCAGGGAAACTACACTGTAGTCAGTCCTGACTCATATGCACCTGCTGTGTGCCTAGACTCGAAGTGTTCCTTCATATTAAGGGTAAGCCAACAGGTTTGCGGGACAGCCCAACAGCTCTCCCACTTAATCTGTGAAATATGCCTCTTGGTATTTTAGAGCTAAAGTTCAATCCGTGGTTTTGCTTATAGGCAAGGAAGAAAATCTTCATAGTTACTCTGATAAATTATTCATTCTTCCAATAGCATGGGTTTGGCTTGTAAGCATCCTTAATGCCAGCTATTATTTTAATATCCTGAAGATAATTGCCTTGTTCCCAGTGGACTGAGTGACACGTTAACATAGCATTTTTCTCTCGTAGCTTGTTTTTAATAAGGAAGTGCGTGGCTGTTTGCTGCTGTGGCACCAAGAAACCTGTTTCTTGGGTGTGAATACTGACATGACTCATCATTTCTGATTTAGGAGCAACCCAGGACTCTTCTGCAGCAGCCTGGTCTGTGAGTGAACTTGTGATATCAAGAGAGAGCACTTTCCTAGATACCATCCTCGTGGAGTGGCCTTTGCTTTTCCTGTCCCTGACTTGGGTTCCTCGGCTCAACAGTGGCTAAGACCCAGCCCAGCACCCCAGGCCTTCCTTACCTATGTCAATTAAACTGCACCATGATTTGTATGGGTTTTCCAGCAGCATGGCATATAAGGAACAAATGACGGGGAAGCTGTTTGCTGGAGCAGCTGTGAGCCACACAGCATGGTGCTGTGTCATCTCACTAAACATCTCCACAGCCTCTTGGGGTAGATTATGCTGTTTGTGTCTCACCAAACAAAAGCCATGGCTCAAGGAAAGCACTTTACTGTCAAGAAGAGAGCCAAGGCCATACAGTGAGTCTGCATGACAGTCTCTGAATGAGAAGAGTTGCCATTCTGAACTAAAGTTTGGCTGAGTTCTCCCATTTGCTAACTGGTCAAGGCTTTACCCTGAGCTCCTGACAGTCTCCACGCACCTGGCTTCGTTCCTCTCATTTTGGAATAAGAAATCTCTGAGTGATGGAAGGGGATGTTCCAGAATGTTTGTTGTCAAACACATAAACTTGTGCTTTGTGGTGGTTTGAATGAGAATGGCCCCCATAGGTTCATAGACATGGAATAATTGGTTGCCAGTTGGTGAAACTATTTGGAAAGGTTTAAGAGGTATAGCCTTGCTGGAGAAGTTATGTCGATAGAAGATGGGGTTTGAGGTTTTGGAAA